TTTGGTGATGAACCTTCGGGTTCTGTAAGCCATCTGTTTGGTTGGGTCCACTATTTGGGAAGCCTGAGGGGAAGAGACCTCTGGGGAGACCTAGACGTAGATGGGAGGATAATCTCAGGCGGGATCTATGGGAGATAGGAGTTGAAGGAGACTGGATTTTGTTGGCCCAGGACAGGGTCCGGTGGAGGGCTTTGGTTAATTCGGTGATGAATCTTCGTGTTCGCTAAGCCATCTGGTTGGTTGGGTCCACTATTTGGGAAGCCTGAGGGGAAGAGACCGCTGGGGAGACCTATACGTAGATGGGAGGATAATCTCAGGCGGGAGATAGGAGTTGAAGGAGACTTTGTTGGCCCAGGACAGGGCTTTGGTTAATTCGGTGATGAACCTTCGGGTTCGGTAAGCCATCTACTTAGTTAGACTCTATGGCACTTCAGCTCACACGGAGCAGCAGTCCCCCTGTAATTATACAACCAGGTGAGCCTTGATCTTCATCTCGTGACCCGGCCACTGTAAAGTGAAGGACGTCATGACGAGAACTCCTTATTAGCAATTAGCATTTCACCTAAAAAAAAGACCGAGTCTTTTAATTGGCTTTAGCCTCCTGACACCTTAGGAGCTGAACTTTGTACACAAGTCTCCGATTATAATCGGAGACTTTTACTTCAGCTCTGCCCTGTAGTGGGTGATGTATTGTTTTAAAAGCTTTGCCAGCTGATCTGCTACGTAGTTCAACGTTCCTAAGAAAATAAGAGAATACCTTGAAATACAAGGACTTTCTCATTGAAATACAGACAAACCTTGTCCCTAAGGTACACAGTGCAGCAGCTATTTTCGAAATACATTTTGTTTTTAACACGTACTAAATGTATTATATAATTTTATTGTTAGAGATGATCTATATATTTTACGACAGCGTCTTTCGAATGATGTATGAAGATCCCAAAATGGCAGTTTTCCCTGATGTCGTGTTCCCCTGGAATGTTGGCCAAATATTTTCTGAGTGACTTGGAGACAATTCCAGTTGCTCCTATAATTATTTGAGATTAGTTGTACGCTCACTTTCCAATATTATTATTATCATGATTATTATTAGTCCTTAAAGTTAAGATTTTCCGATGGCTTACCGCCTTTCTGGTGAGCCAGAGATAGCAATTTGTAGCTTACTCAATTCATAGAAGTTGCGAATTAAGCTACAAGGCCAACTTGAATTTGAATGCCAAGGCCGACGATTTCAACTCGCGTTACACCAACATATAACCCGTAGGTCTAGTTGCAGGTGCCAGAACCACTGTTCTATTTATGTTATGCTTTCTGGTTTATGTTTACCAACAAACGGCGGGTCTTTAGATTTTATTCTAACTGCTGACACGAAGTTTTTGCACATGAATTTGCAAGCAACAGTCACATAAAAAGATAAAAATCTATTAAGCACAGCAATTATAATTGTAACGAAAGTCAGCTGATTCTCGGGGTCAGCCATTAGGAGGTGTTCACTCACCGCGATTAAGAAGACACACCTGTGACATTGTTCACATGCTGACGTCAGCTAATTCCGAGGTGCGAGATGAGAAGGGGGTGTGGCCAGCAGACACAGCCTGTCCAAGGAGCATCCAATGGCAGGTGTATCTGTGGCCCTTTCGAAACAGGAATTTCAGCTATGCCAAAAGGTTTTCGTGCAATTAGCTGTCGGATATATTTGCGTGTCATCTGTCTGCGCCCCGAACATCGGTTCCTCGTCAGCGCGAATGAATATTAATCGACAAAAAGCAATGGACGGAGCTGAAAGTCTACTCTACGATCAGACTTTTCTAAAGCTCACAGCAGTTCAATTGATCAAGAATTTTCCCCATATTTTAAGGAAACAAAAGATTCAAGATGGCTGTCCTTTGCATTATTTCGCCTTGTAGCCTGGTAGAAATTTACCGACGTTTCAGAGATAGTTGCTGCCCTAATTATCACTCCTATTAGGCTACAAGGTTCAATGACCCAGAAGAAAACCATCTTGATTCTTGTGGGAATCTAAAATCTCAACCACAAAGTTCACTAGTCAACGTTCACTTTGAGCAGATTCTGAAGACGGAAGCGATTTTTTACTCCGAAACATTGACATTCACTTACAAGGCTACATGATTACAACCAAAAAGAGAAGAAGTATTATGTTTAATGTGAGGTTCAAACGATTTGCAACCCTATAAATGCAAAATAAATTTTTGCTCACCGAAGACTGACGAATCCACGGTCTTGATAAAATATTTGCGGTAGGGAAGATGGTTTTATAAATTCTGATTAGAACCGTTATTACTTGACTTTTGTAGCTCTAATTGAATTCAGCGTGGATCTACATAAGTCTTAGCAAAGCTCATAGTAATTTCTGGGCAACTGGAATCTGATTCGAAGTAGACCTGTAATCAAAGTTTTCATTAAACCTTTCCTCGCGACGAAGGACAGGGTGGTAGCTTTACAAATGAACATTTGATTTACCTACATGTAAGCCACAATACATTAACTGAGTAACTTAAAAGACCCACTCTCGGGTTTTCTAACGTGAGATTTAGTCGGAGCCGAATTTATATTTTGAACAAGTGAAAAGTCCAGAAAACATCCCACTCGTACAGACAGACACACACACTAAAGTATTTTATTTTAGGTTAACGTAAAGAATTTCATGATATCTAATATAAGCCTACTTAATCTTTGCGACTCATTATTTTAGCTTACTTTGCGTAGTTACTCATAATTGTTTTGTTAACATATTGGAGTGAATGTAGAAGAGAAGAATGTTTGTACAGCGTAATAAACGCCTCATCCTGTAATTAAGTAGGCTCAAAAAGTTGTAAAATGCCTATCTCAGATCTGATGTACGTCTAAACGGAAGAATAAACTTGATGAGGTAAAACCAAAAGTTGAGGTCAGATGCGTAGTCTATTGTGTAGGGTCTATTAAGAGTCTTAAATGTAGTCTGTTTAAGAGTTATGAGCCATACGAACTCGATGTGAATTACAATTTATTAATGAGTTACATAAAATAACACGTTAATGGTTCATATGTCGGCGCTGCGTTCGTGGAACTACCGATAACAACCTTGTACTACTCTCTATTGATGAGCTGTTTAACATCGATTATTCAGACATTGCCTTGTTAAATTGTCCGTCTAACTCAAGTTTGCGTCTTAGCATATACACGAATTGGCTACATTTTCTTTGATAAATTAACTACATTATGGTCATATCCAGGAGCACATAGCGTGTGTAACATATGAGGGAAGGAAAGTCTTGAGAACTGCAGCCATGAATAAATGGGTTACTTATTCACGGAGGTTCCAACTGGCGTGCATGGGTGTCCATAACAGATCTACCTGTCTGAGAGCAGTCTGTTACAACTTAATCTACGCCTAGTTCTGACTAATATGTTTTTGCCTCAGACGTGACCAGAATGTCAATGGAGGATCATGAATCAAGCTACCCACGCGATTTTGCGCACGTCGAAAGAGGATATTGTTTCGACATTACTGCTAACTAAATACATAACGATTAATTACCACCGATTGTCTAGCGTGAGGAATTTTATCAGATGTGACTCCAGGTCCTCGAGGCGACGGACGAAGAGTCCACCAGACTACAAGATTCGATTCCAGGCTGGGCACATGTTTCGCTATTTCACCACTGTGTGTCTCTGGGTGGATAATCACAGAAGCTTGTAAATGCAATCTACGTCATTGAATGGAATCAGATTTACGCAAAGTGTCACTCTGTTATCCTAACATTCATTTTAATATTATACTACAATCTTCTGTAGCATTATCTGGTTGTTTCATTCGTTGAAGTTGCCAGACTAAAAATTTTGTGTGCACTGTTTATTTCATCTAAGATACGAGGCTTACACGATCATTTTCATGTATCTTGATTAATAACCGTTGTATTATTAAGTGCAAAGAGAATGAATTTTGTTAGAGTAATTGCAGATTCACCTAAGAACAATATTGAGTCATTAAATCGGAAATATTAACTACAAAAATTAACGAGTAATGTCAGTTCTTTTATGATGTTAGACGTCCATTTTCGTTTTTCATTTATGTAGTTTATTTAACGATGTTTTTTAAGTAGCTTACACTACGTATCGTCGATCCATTATCGTGTTAAAAGAATTTATACCCTGATAAATCAGGTCGGATTAAACAAATTTCTGTGTCCCATGCCAAGAGTAACGCAGACTCACTCAGGTACCTGGAAAAAGTCTCCTTCGGGACCTAAAGATTCAGATATCTTTCCTAACACACGAAGAGGTCACGTGGTTAAGCATTCTGGAAGTGTTTCGCCTTGGGAACGGTTAGCATGACTCAGTTTTTCGTGGTTTTCCTCAGTCGCCAGAACAACGACACGACAGAATGACGCATTAGGCCACGACGGCTTCATTTCACATAATTTCCAATTTAATACTCGTTAATTAATCATTCTGGGGGGTTAAACGAGCTTATACGCAGGTGCGTTGATGCGAACGCCGAGTTCTTGTCCGGGGTACGAAGGCGCGTACTGTCGGACGAGGCGAGTCGGGTCGGGGGCGCAGGTTCTGTCCTGTCGCTCCGGTTCTCACCTGGAAGGGTCCACGTGTTTTGCGACTGTTCGAGCCTGCGCGCGCAGCCCCCTCGAAAATGCGCACACCTTGGTGGGGCCGTCCGCCTGGTCAGGTGACCAAGCGGGGATCCTCCCGTTGGTGGGCTCGTCCTCCGTGACAACTCCCCCTATCTCAGAGGAATCCCACTTGTGTCTCTCTGTCTCTGTCTCGCAGCCTCTCTCCCCCCGGCTCGTCCTTCGCCCCCCCTCCTCTGGAGCCACATCGGACACATCCTCAACCGGACCGAGAGGCAAACCAGTAGTGGGAATGTCGGAGGATAACGTCGCTGTCTCGTGGATTTGGTTTCAGGGGGGCTCTTCGTCTCATCGACAGAACCGAAGTACGTGTTCACGAAGAATCAGGGGGTTAAGCCAAATATAATTCCTAGTACCAATATAAAATTACGTATCGGTAGTTTTCGGGTAGATTCGGCTGATTTCGTGGGGGAGGAAATTTATTTAGTATCTTTCTACCCCCCCGCCACCCCTCGGCCCCTCGCCCTGCAGGACCTCCGGAGTGCATGTCCTCGGCTGTTAAACATTTTTTCTGCGATGCCTGTCGTCGGTCGCTGAGGAGCGGGCGAAGTCGTGTTACTCGAGTGGAACCGTTTGTCTGTGTGGTGCCTGCCGTCTCCATGTGACGGATGACCCGAGACTGACAATGAAGTGGTCCAGTGCACCTCTTGTGCTCGTGACCCTTGTGATGTCTCTCGTCACCCTCGCCGAAGAGGTGACTAGCAAGAACAAGGCAGGACGTGGACGGGGCAGCAAGTGGTGGTAGGTTCATAACTCTTTGTCCAGTGGCGGATCTCGACTCTCCTTTGTTCAACCTCTGATTTGAATTCATTGTTTAAGGTTCACTGATTTCCGCCACTGGTCTTTCACGTTTACTATTCAAATCTGTGATTTATTTTATAAGACAAACGATAGAATTACACTTTTTAATTTTTAATTTATCAGAATTTGGTTTTTTTTTTAAAGACGCATTTCTCCAATAGAAATTACTGACACCTGTTAACACTCTAAAGCTTAATTCTTAAGTTATATTCAGTCTTGCAACTTTGCAGTAATTAGTTTACCAAGTGATGATTATTCTCATCAAGACAGATAAGCATTACAGCAGGTCCAATGAACTTGCATATTTGGATCAAAATATTTTGGTTAAAGCTAAGGAATCCAGGCCTACGTATGCTTAAACTATCGAAACGTCCTATTACGAATTTAGGCGTAATATCATTTTTTTTTATTCAGACATACCAAAAACTAATGTGAGGTAATATCATCGTTCAACGTGATTCTTACAGTAACATTTTAGCCATTCAAGAATTTACAGAAGTTTATTTTATAAATTTATTCGTATATTTTCATAATCTTTCTACCCCTTGTAAACATCGTTATTCGGCACGCTTAAACTTTAAATATTAATTATATATTAAATATTGTCCGTCTAATCACAATAAATTCTTATTAAATATTATTAAAATATTACAATAATTAACATTTAAAATATTAAATTATGTTCTTTACCGAAATACCGAAATATTCGATTTAACATTAGACCATCATTTTTCATGTTTAATATATACTTATTATATCATAATATGACGCAACTTTACCATATTTTAAATATTAAGTGCCTTGAACTGACTTTAAGCCGAAAGTCTAATGTGAACATTTATTCTTCATGAATCGGTTCATTACAGAATCTACGAAGATATTTAAAACCAATAACACAGGCGGAATATGTTGCTATTAAACACGTTTTGGTCAAAGTTTCACTTCTCGTGCGAGAACTTGGAATGCAGACGCCGTTTCGGCTAACGTGCTCAGATTCCTACCAGCCCGAAAGTTATCACAATTCACACCTGACACATTCTTCTGTCAGGTACTAATGCCTTTTGATTCAGCTCAAATTAATTCGAGTCTAAGCTACCAAACTCGTTTCGCATTGGTAAAAGCGATTCTTAGAGACAATGTTCTTGTGTATAGTCCTCCGCAAAACAAACTAGATCCACGCGGTGTGAACTAAAATTATGTTCGGTAATTTTATTTTGGTCAGTACAAAGTACACACGTTCCTATGACTAGTCATAGATACAGCTCTCTATGTGAAGTTGAAGAGAGATGTCCCTGAATTCCATCCAAGGTCCCTTGCAAGGTTAATAACATCTTGTAAACGAATGTACTGTGCTGTGTATTTTCTGTAAACGTATTAACATCGTTTTGTAAAAAAATTGTAGCAATATTTTTTGGGTTGAATTATTTATCTTTGCATAGCAAAAATCGATGTTCTTGTGATCTATGATGTAAAACGGATTACCGACATAATTTGCCTAAATTTATAATCAATTTAAATATATAGATTTATATCAAAGATAATTCATTTACCTTAGACCATCCATAAATAATGTTTTGAGCTCCGAAACGCACCTATTAAGATGTTCCGTCTTCTGGGTTGTTGCGTTGTGTAGTATGATAGAAGCTTACCGACGTTTCAGAGGTGGTTGCTGCCTCCGTCATCAAGGGGATCGCCCTATATTGAGTAAAAAACCACATAGCCTTGAGAACCTAGAATCTCACATAAAATATACCTACACATACACAGATCAAGCCGTTTGTCCGTCCGCGTAGGCTGTGGTGCGCCATTAAACAGACTGTAGTTGAAGTGATATTTTGAAAGAATCTAATAGGCATGTTACAACCCGTTCAGAGATTTACATTCATGTATGACTTGAGGTTCTCACAGCGGTGAGTATGAAGATATCCGTCTCATCGCCCTGATGACGGAGGCAGTATGACCTCTGAAACGTTGGTTAACATCGACCAGACTACACAGCGCAATAACCCAGAAGACGGATATCTTCATTTACATTCATGTTTTCATGAAGGTCTCCTAACCTATAGACTTGATTTTATTCAGGCATAAGACATGTTTAGTGTACTGTCCAAATATAATATTTATAGATCTTAGTTTTGTGTGTGCGTGTGTGAACATTTTGGTATTATAGACGCGCGTTTTAAAGGTGTTAAATGTAAACAATTACGAAGTGAATCTTAATTACAGTCGCGGTATAAAAAAAAACAGAATTTCCCCAATGTTTTACATTTTAAAATTTCTGAAATCGGGGTGTGTCTTAAAATCTAAAAAAAAAACCCCGTAATTATAACCTTCAGCCATTTGTTTATTTTCTCAGAAGTAATTAAAATCTCTAGCAGTCCATAAATGTCAGATTGTCGGAAGCTGCCTTCCATACAATGCGTTGTAGCCCTAGGCCGGCCCTCCTACAACAGATGTCACTAGCGTACGGATTTAAATAAGTTGAATAAAGAAAACATTAAGCCGGATTATCCCATAAGAATTAAAATTGTTTATCAGTAGCTAATATTTAGCCTTTCAAACTTGAAACATATACCGCTCTTAAGCTGAGAGACAGATGTACTTAATCCAATCTCCGGAAAGGACCGGAAATAGACAAGTCTAACGTAAAAATTAGTAATTTATAGACCCCTACTTCGCTGGTAAGGTATTGTTGAAGCAATTACGATGACGGATTTGCATAATTAGGCGGAGATTGACAATAGACCCTGCTGTTGTGAAAGAGCTACTAGGAAAATGGGTGTAGGTTCTGTAATATTAATGAGTTTACTGGGGGAATGGATTGTGTGAAGTTGACTGAAATCAGTAGGTTAATTTAGCTTAGCGATAAGCTCAGAAGCGTAATAGCGTATCTGTTAGCTTAAAACAGTGTTTCGATTCCCCTTCACAGTCATAAATACATCACGTTGAGGAGCCTTGTTCTTTAATATCCTATACTACGCTGCATATGAACAACATGTATAACACAATCTACTCGAATTGTTTCAAAATTTATCAACTTAAAGCAGGAAAAGTTGCACTGAAATACAAGTTTATGTTTGAACGGCAGAAATTTTTATTTGTGTTCTATTAAAATATATAATATAACGAAAATTTAATAAAATAAATAAATCAATAAAAATAAAAATAAATTTAAATATTTAGAAAATGCTGAAATATGTCTTATGCCTTCCTAGATGTGACTAACATAACATCTGATAACTAAACTCATTCTAATTCGCTTTGTAATAGTCCAATGTCCTGAGGACTGATGACAATAGTTCTTTAAAATAGGCTTATTTGCTTTATTAGAGATTCAGTAAATAATATTGTAGGAAGATAACTCTACTCATTTTACAATTAGGCTTACTATAAAAATATTTTATGGGGTGTTATAGTTCAGAATTTTATACCATATCATGTGGTTTCTTAAATAATTTCTTGCATTCTTGCCAACATAAAACACTTTGAAGCAAGCCTACGTCTGATTAAAACTTGCATCTAACATAAATAAAGCTTTAATTAAGCCTAATGCACTACATTACGTTTTATATTTAAGAACACTTCTGTTAAACGAATCAATAGTTCGTAGCCTGCGATGTTTCAAGTCTCCGGGTAGCGCGTATTTAATTCTTTTCCTCACTGTGAAGATATTCAGTCGCCATTTAAAAAAATCACTTAAATAATACGTATTTCACAATTGAAATGTTTGTAGTGTTAGACGGTACGCGTGTAACTCTACACGCAGACGTTGAGTAATTTTACATTTTTACGTTAAAAATGTTCAGTAAGATATTAATAAATGTTTCTAATAAAAGTTATAGGCCTATGTCATAATAAAGTGTTAATTTTGAGTTAAGTTCAAGTTTCTTAATAATTAATTTCTACTTTTCAGAAAATAAATTATTTTAAGTAAAGTACTTATGAGTTAAGTGACTTCGCCTGCGTTAAGTAAAGTAATTTAAGCTCTTGAGAACTGAACCTGCAGCTTAAGTTTAAATTTCTTAATATGCCTATTTGATGGGTCCCTCGATCGATACCTCAATCCATAGTTCTCTTAAGTCACTTTGTTAATACACAACAAATGCAAATATTTTCGCCGTGCGATAGAGAATTGTAGTCACGCCTACGATCATGTTAATCATATAAAGTCATCGCGAATAAGGGAACAGGGGAATAAATAAAGAATCGGATAAACCAAAGGTAAAAGTGAATGGATTCGATATTTTCATTAGAATACTTTGGACAGCTAAATCGAACATCAGTTGCATCTAACTTTATTGTATTTTTTACTTGAATACGGGCTTGGAGAACTATTTATGTAACCCTATAAAGAACGACGCCTGTTTTGAGGTTTAATAACTCTGGTTTTGCCCCAGAGTGTATGTCTCAGGGTTGTTCATAATTAGTAGAATAATTAGCGACCATTTTACTGAACGGCATTGGCTGGAGATAACAGCTGTTTAAATATATATTATTTAATTAAAATCTCTGTCAATATTTTATTTATTTGTAATTTATTAAACGATGATGTAGATATTTCAGATTATTTGCTTGTAGCCAGAATTATAGAATTATTAATGAATTATAAATGAAAAAAGATAGGTCGTGGAGTGATTGAAGGTACTATCGCGAAGTTTGATTGGAGAGACTGGGGGAAACCACGAAAATCCTCAGGTTAGCCGGGCCCCAGTCCCCGAGATTTTAACCCCGGGAACTCCCGAATAAGAAGCAGGAGTGCTAACCACTAGCCTAAAGGCTGAGCTTCTGTAAGAGTTGACGTTTGTTAAAGCTCCAACCTTCAGCGATGATCCGGTCTATAACACACCTAAGACACGCACTGAGTGAGTTTCTACCTGCCGTAAGTCAACATGTCGCTGCTCTGGCGTGACAAGGGAGGCGGCTGTTAACTGTTACGAAAA